TTCAGAAATTGGCGGCGTCAAATCTCCAGGCAAGAAAGGTTTCTCCAGCAAGGTGCAATGATAATTCAACAGCCGTGACAAAACCCCTGCGTCAAAGAGGAAAGCATCCTGCAATAAACCATCCAGGCGGTTTTGAATCTGGTATTTGTATGTCCTGTGTTTAGCCTCTTGCGGAAAGCAATCAACCAAGAGCTGACTACGCCAGATCATCTGGCTGAGGTGCAACTGATAATGGTGTTTCGGCTTAAAATCATTGTAGGCATCTCTGTAAAGCTTCAAGTATTGCTCAGTTTGTCGCAGCAGCAACTCACACTTGTCCTTTGTGATACCTCTCTGTAGGCTCTTCAAAGTCGCCAGCAGCTTGTTCAAAGCATAGAAAGATTGCAGTTCTGGTGTCACAGCCACGGTGTCCGGTACAGCATCAATGACATGATACAACATCAAAGGGAGGAGCAACCTCAGGTCACTTGCCGAGCCGCGGTAACCATCACCAGTAAACCGCTGACTCTGTGCCAATTTTTCCGCCACGCTTTGCTTTTTTGCCCGCTGGTGCACCAAGGAGTGTTCTGAATCGCCGCCTGCAAACCCTCGCACTTGAAATCTGACTTCGTGGAAAGGACAGCCATGAACTGGACAACCTCCCACGCTGCCACGCCAGAAGCCCAAAATATGTGCATTGGGTCGAAAAGCACCTGTGTAGGTTTCAAAATCTGCCTGGCTATGGGATTTGCCAGGACAGCACCTGCGTGAAAATTGTACCCAGAGATCTTTTCAAGGCGTTCTTGTTGTTTTTTGTTCATGTTGCCCGTCTCTCTGGCCATCAAGTCCCAAAGATCAAAAACTTCTTGGTCCGACCAAAGATCAAGCTTAGCCCATTCGGTCTCTGAGATTTCTGTGATATACCCTTCCTCGTCACGTAAGTTGGAGCCCTTTTTGCACACATTTTTGCAAGCAAAGCACGCTTTGATCGAGGCACTTCCTCATCAAAGTCTGCAATGAAATAACCCTGCATCAGGTTCACCCGCAGCAATCTATGGTAACCATCCAGCTCAAGCGCAATACCATGTTCCATGTGGAAAGATTGCAACAACAGAACCACTTCACGCATCATCTTCGAAAACCCACCTGCCACAGATTCTAAGCTCGTATGCTGGGCAATGAACAGAGGGAACCAAACTTCTTCCTTCTGTCGCTGCTGTAGTTCGGACAGGGTCACATATCCAATGGCAACCTTTTTGGCACTGTGCGGCGCCAAAGGGTTTCCAGAAACCACCTCATCCCAATACAACAATGGTTGGAGCAAAGACCCCATAGATCTATCAACAACTGACAGAAGCCTCCGAGCAAATGGCACACTGCGAACTGCCATGTACTGGAAATATTTTGGCAGGTGTGTCACAGCAATGTGCACCATCTTCCCAGTCTCATCTGGGCCCACTGGCACCTTCAGGACGCAATCGCTTGGCAGCTCATCACGGACTTTGCGTTTGTATCCAGTGTAGGACTTTGGAACCGCATCTTTGCTGGCGATTTTCAAGATGCCATGCAAAGCTTTCTCACTTCATCCACGCACCTTCAAGCATTGTGCCAGCAAATTCTCAGGCGAAGTTTGGCTGTGGGATGAGGAGGCAGGGCATGTGGATTCACCGGCGTTCATGAAATGAGATTACTGTTTCCTCAAAGGATTCTACTCAACTCATACGCGAACTTCAGCATCCAGTCATGCAGAAAACAAAACTTGTAATCTGAACTTGACCAATGAAATATAGTATTTGATATGCGGGGATATGTCAGAACCCCTGGGCCGAAACGCGCAATGTGGAGTAAACAGTGTGAGCACAGGGGTTAAACCCACCGGCTGCTGCCAAAAGAATGTCAATTGCCCAAACACAAATACTCGTTCCTGCTCTCAACTAACGCCGAACCTTTTCTCAAGACACACGCAGGCTCAAGGCGCGGTCGAAAATCAAAAAGGGATCAGCCAGAATGAAAATTCTGAAGCGGGGCGGCCCGCAAAGCATCAAGCGCCACAAAGCCGGCGGCTCAACGAGGCATCAAGCGGCCCCCAAGGCCGCGGCAAAGCTTTGAGCTGTCTGGCAAAAGCGGCCCTCGGAGACGCGCAGGCGGCCCCCCAAGCCGCATTTCATCCTCACTGCTTGATCCTCCTCTTCTTTGACCCAGCAGCGTTTGCTTTGGCCTCCTGCAAGTACCGCTTTGCGGCCTTGACTTCAACCATCATGTCCTTCTCACCGTTGAAGGGCAGTGGATCCAGCGCTGCTGCTGCATTCCTTGCATGTTTCTGCAAAGCGCTTGCTGCAGCTTTGTGCCACGCGGTAAGCAACACATGGCATGATGTCAAGTTCTCCTTCAGCAACGCGTTCGTGTCAGGGTCTGACACATGCTGACCCAGCTCATCCTTCAAAGGCTGCAGGATCTGCGCAGCCTTACCTGAGAGGTTGACGATGGTCTTGTTGTTCTTCAGCCTGTCACGCTGTTCCGCTTGCTCCTGCTTTCGCTGCTCTTTGGCTGCCTTGCTCTTGGCTTCCCGCTCCTGCTTCTTTCGTAGCGCCTCAAGCTGCTTTGCCGTCAACTTCTCCTCCTCCTCCTCCTCGTTGTCAGGCTTCTCCTCATCAGACAAAAGGTCGACCACAGGCTGGGCTGCCGTCTCGCTCTTATTGGCTCCACCCACGGCAGCAGCTCGCTTGCGCACTGCCCTTTCTGCCTGAGCGACAGAAGTCTCAATCTGCGCTCGGATCTGCTTGTCTTGGAGCGAAGTGACTGGCAAGCAATAGACATCTTCCTGTAGGATGGGGTCAAAGATGCTCGGCGCATTCTGCTGAAGGCTCTCCACATTGTAACCGCGCCTGAAACATGTATGCGCTGAACACCAGGCAAAATGTCTTATAAGTTTGTTGGACACGTGCAAATAAACGTGAGGTCATACATTCACACCATGGGGCCAGGCCACCATTGTATATATATATATGGAATAACTTCACTTCCAGCTAGGGGAGAAAAGGAAAAGCAAACAAAGCTTTGCAGCCTAGTCTCTGCTTGTAAACACTCAAAGGAAGAAACTTGCCGCAGCTCTTCTTGGTGAGCTCGTTCGTGACCTGGGTGGTCAGGCTCGTGAAAGGCGTTTTGTTTTCATGTCGATTTTTTGATAGCAAATCATTTTTTTAAGGGGGCCTGAGAAAAGATATATTGCATGTTTTTTGTTGACAAGCAGTTGAGACAAGGGAAAATGAAAAGAGATCTCAACTTTCCCAGCCAACTGAGTTCAACTGAGCGCCGCCGCAAATCTTTTTTTGCGCACATTCTTGCTAGTTGGGTCACTGTGGACCGACCGCTAGGCAGATCTCAGGGTAGCTGAGGTCTGGCACGATTCCACAGCGCCCTGTACTTGGCAGGCCTGTCGCATTCAATGCCACTGCCATTGCCCTGCCTCACGGCGATTAGATGGCCAATCTTGCCAATGAGAAGATGTAGACCAAGACCAGGCATGTGAATCATGGCCCCATCTCCACGAACTTTGCCAGCGCCATGGGTCATCATGGTGGCTGGCGCCTGCCCAGTTTCCATCATGCCTTGGAATGTCCTGGCTGTGGTCTTTGTGTGACCGCTCTACCCACGCCCCAGTTGGTGGTGATTGGGGTAGTGGGCGCTGATTTGCCCCTGCATCCCCGAGTTCCACAGGAGGAGAGTCATATTCCCTCCATTCACGGTGAAAATAGGTTTCCGGCCTATTCCAATCTTCTTGAGGCCAAGGCTGCTCTTCTGCTGTGTTCCAGCGCCTTCCTTGGAAGGTAGCTGGAGGGCAAGAAGCCTGCCTTCGATGGCCGTGGTGGCAGTGGTGGGCGTGTTGCCGTTTTGCCCAGGAATCGCCTGCAGCTATCCAGCGGCCACAATTGGCACACTGCTCACGGGCAGCGGGCATAAGACTAGCGGCGTGTTGGCACTTTGAAGACGCTAGCTGGTGTTGCCGCAGTGCCCATCTTCCACCTCGAACCACATGCTGACAAATTGGGCATCGGATGAAACCATTGGCCTCCAGATCTGCATCCACCCCTTTGTTTGGGGTGGGCCCTGGGTCATATCCCCATGTTTGCGAGCCTTCCCCCGCCCCAGGAGTTGGGGTAGGGGGAATGGCTAAAGTGGAAGCTGAAGTAGCTGGCGCAATGTCTGTGGTGCCAGTGGCTTGGCCTCCATCATTGTTTGTCGGCGGAGCTGCAGCAGTAGCATTGGCCGCCATGGCGTGCTCAGTTTTGTTTATACCAGGCTCATGGCAGAAAGACAGGTTGGGCCCAGATGCTACGTTTGAAACAAGAATTCTGCTGACCAACTTGCGCGCAGCCACATCCGTTTGTTTGCGCTCACTTCAAAAAAACACACCCAAGCAAGATGCAATTGCAGAAGGTTCTATTAAGATGATTGCGCCAGCCACAAGCAACACCGTGCCCTACACTGTGCCAATCATGTTTCAAAACCAGGTAAGTGAGCGAAGCCTCCATGGTCAGTCATGTCATGGTGATGTGACTTTTTGCTTGCCGAGCGAGCCAGCTTCGGTCCACCAGCCTTTGTGGATGGCAATCTGAGAGTGAGCTCAAGTTGCGCACTCTGCTGCGTCCATGTGGCCAGCAAAGCTTTTGGAACACCAAAGCCACAGAATTGAGTTTTTTTGTCACACCATTTCTGGCGAGTCATGGGGCTATGGTTTAGGGTGCATCACCTGCACACGCGAGGAGAAGAATTGATAACCTTCAACAAGGGAAAGACCCCCGTCTCAAGCTATCCCAGCAGTCATGAGGTTCCCTGTCTTCGGTTAAAGAACAGCTACACCATTAAGAAAACGATCATTTATAACCCTGGCTGCGGTGAAGGTGTTCGGCTTTATTGTATTTACTTGCAGTTGGGGGCAGCATTGAACCTGCGAGCCAATGTTCACAACCGCCCTGATTGTGGTGAGTTGCGTTTATGTGCTGCTAGGGGTGTCATTCAACCTATTGGTGCTTGAGTTCCACAGCTTTGCTTTGGGGAACTACCAGGGGAGTGGTGAGAGCGATCACCGGCCGAATGGGCTGTAAGCCTCGCGCTGACCATTTGACTGACCAAACCACCTTGGTGTAGGGGGTCGCCCACCGTGTGGTTTCAAGGCAGCCAGCCATCGAAGTCAGTGGCAAGGTGAAAGAACCATCAGCGCCTTTCTTGTCGTCAGAGGTAGGTGCGTTCTCTGGCCGGAATAGCGCCTGGTTTTTTGGCCTCAACGCAAAAAAGGTCGTATCATCACTTCTGGGCTGCTCAGCCAGCTCGTAGTAGCAAATGTTGACACTCAAAGGTGTCACTGCTCGTTTTTGCGCTACGACCCTGCCCAGTTTGGAAAGCTTTCCTTCAAAGAACACCTCTGAGTTTGAGTTCTCAATCTCGTACAAGCAATCTGCTGGTCGGGCTTGGAAATCTTCCTGCGTCTTTCCTTTTTGTCCCTGCATCAGGAATTGTCCCTTGTAGTATCCGGCCAGTGTGGTGCCGGCTGGAAGGGTGACATCCCCTGAAGTGCCTTCATTGGCTATAAACTTCCTGTTCCCAATTGTTATCACCAGCTTCAAGACATTGCCCTTGCCCCTTTGGTGTGGTGATGGCAGCGCCGCTTGCCAGCGCAATGGCTTTGGCAAGTCAGGCAAGTCCAGTGGCTCCAAGGTGGCAGGCTCCGTCTTCTGAACCTTGGGAGCGGGCTCTGCTGATGCCGCCAGGTTTGAAGCAGTGTCTGACCCAGCGCCAGGCCCGCGCTTGTTCTTGGGCCCTTTGGCTGCGTCTGTGTCACTGCGTCTGTGTCACAGTCCTTGACATCAAGCCAATTCGATGCCCGAGCACGCGCCAACCATTCCTGGAATTCTTGGCCGTGTCTTGGGTGGTCGTGCCAAGTCTGCGGCAATTTGTCTGGGGTGCGAATCGTTTGGAGGCCTTCCACTTTCTTGGTGGACCAGGTCAACGTAGTCAACTCTGGCTTGGGCGGCAATGCTGTCGTCACTTCAGGCGGTAGCTCCTTGGCCATCAGCGGAGGAGCGCCGCTCGGGTAAGGGAGCTCCCCACTCAAAAACCCTTCTGTCAGCCAAGTGCACAAATGATCAACTTGCCATTCTTTTTCTCCAGCGCTGGCTGAGAACCCAAGGTAGTAAAGTGGAATGGTTATGCTTTTCGATGCGCGTTCCAGATACGCAGCCTTGGCAAATTCCAAGGTGTGCGCTGTAGTGTCCACCACCAAGATAGCTGCGCGGCTCTGCAGGTCGCTTGGCACGATCGATTGCAGGACCTTCCGCGCAGCGTCTTGGCCTATTTGTTGATGTTTCTCAGCCTGCGAGACATGCGTTGTCGTGTCGCTGGATGCTGGAAGGGCGTCCTCATTCATGTCCTCTATTACCAACATTTGGTTGGAAGGCAACATGGGCACTTCGGTTAGCACAGCTTGCTGAAAGACCTTGGCGCTTCTGAACACTTGCCACACAACTTTACTCTTATTTTCATCTGTGCCGCCAGGAAAAAGGATCACCCCTGGCTGCATCAACGCCCGCCGCTCCCGATCATCAGTCTTTCCGGAGTAGGCGACGCAAAACCTGCTGTCACCATTCAAGCACGCGTTGCCTAGCTGTGTCCAGCATTGTTGTTCTGCTTTGCGCAGGCTCCCTTTTTTGTAAAAGTGAGTGGGAGTGAGGCATATTGCCATCTCCGTTCACCAGTGCCCCAGTGAGGTGGGCTTGGCCTTTCTGGAGCTGCGCGCTGTAGGTGCTAGGTGACGACCAGTTTATGATAGACACACAGTGCACGGACTCACGGTCTTGGAGCTGGTTCATTCTCATAACTTGGTCTGCCATATCGATCGCTGCCTTCATGTTCACTGCATCTCTTGGCCCCATGACTTCGAAATGCATTTGCCAAGCTGCGCCTGTTTTCAACAAGCTGCTGGCGACATCTTTGGCTTGCGCTTGCCTTTTGGCAGTGTGCTGTAGCTGTTGGAAGTACAGCGCAGCATCCCTGTCATTGCACTTGATTCTCCAACTCTCGTAGGTGGTAAAGTCATGGTCTGCGGAAGCCAGAGCGAGCTGAAACGCTTGGGCCTCAAGCTCGCCAGCGGAGATCTTTGGCCCCTGCCCAATAGCAGTCAGCTTGTCATCGCGCTTGCTTAGGCAAGTGGCGATGAGTTCTTGGAACCAAGTCAGCTCGGCAGGCTGGAAACTTGCCTTGCCCTCTGCAAAAGCTGCTTGCAGCTCCAATTCCATTGACCCGTTCCCTTCAAGGAATGGGGCCAAAACCCTTTCTTCAACCATTTGCATTGGGATGGGGTGTTGCGCGACCAACTCGTCGATGCAGCTTGACAAGGTTTGTGCCATATTGAGGGCTTCCTCTAGCGTTTCCTTTTCCAATTTTTTCCTCATGGCTGGCGGTCTTCTTGCGTGGCAGGCGTGGACATATTTCAAAAACAGGCGCCACCCTTCATGCGTAACGGTCAAACGCTTCTGCCACGCTCGTTCCATCCCGCGTGGCGTATACCCGGGTGACAGGCGCTTATTGGCGAATGACTCGCCGGTGAACGCCGTGGCCTCACCAAAATGTGAAGCGTGGGCCAGGAGCAGAGATATTGAAGCCTGAGGCAAATCCAGAAGTAGCATGATGGCTGTGCGCTTCTGGCCTGTCAGGCTCGCCTCTCAGGTGGCTGAGTCATTCCACCGCCAATTTTTTTGATAGCCAAGTAACCGCACAGTGGCCCTTCCGAATATCGCCTCGGGCGCTGAGCTTAGCATTTTCTAAAAGCAATTGAAGCAGCGTCTGTTGCCACCAAACTCATTCTGCAGGCCAATCTTTGAAGGCTGGCCCATAATGCTGGGTTGAGAGAGGCGACATCGGCTTTCAAATGGAATATCAGCACATGCGCCAGAAATAGAACGCTGGTGGCGCGGGCCGCTCCCTTCACATAATGAGTGAAAAACAGTGGGCTTGCATGGTCTTCAAAAACGCCGTCTGTGGGCCCTTGGCACAGCAAAATCGGATCTCCATCACTCACAAATGAATGTGTTAAGAACTCATCGATCAACCTGCGCGCGGTCACCTTGAACGTAGCAGGCTTTGAGGAGCAGTCCTTGGTCCAGCCCAGGTGCCACAGAGACATATTGAATGTCTCGCCAGTGCTTGGCAGCGCCGGCTGTTGCCAATACGTCAAGTCTGGACGCTGGGGAAAGGTGTCCCGCAAAGCAGTGGTGAACTCCGTCCATCCAGGACCGGGCGAACTGCCCAAGACTTTCTCCAAGTACTGCACCGGTCCCCCAACAGTGTCCAAAATGTGGTCGGTGATATGCAAGACTTGCTCTCGAAAGTTCTCTGGCTGCAAAGCAGGCGCATTCTCCACCCACTTTCTCAGGGATGGGGCAATGGGATCTTGGCCAACTGGTTCCTGTTCGGCGCTCAAGGATAGAGTTCGACCCAGGATTCTCCGGTTTGATTCAGACGGCGTTGGTGGGTCTTTGCAGTGTCCGCCTTCTGGCAAAGGTGGGACCTGCGCATTGGCTTCTGCTGTAAGCTCGGGCTTCTCTTCCTTCACTTCTGGTGTAGGCTCGAACTTCTCTTCCTTGGCCATGGCTCACACAGCTGCAATGTCTTTGTTACCCAGTGTGGTGCTGGGTTCAGTAGCCCAGTGGCTGCCCAAAAGAAAAAATCTCAAAAGACGAGAACTTCGAAACCCCAAAAACTTGACTATGTGGGGGTTCGCAAATCCTGCGCCCCTAGATCGTCAAGTTTCAAATGAAACTTGACCAGCGCTCTTTGTAAGGCATACAAACTTGACTAAGTGGGGGTACGCAAATCCTGCGCCCCTACATCGTCAAGTTTGTATGATGTAGAAAAGGGGATCGTCAAGTTTCAAATGAAACTTGACTAAGTGGGGGTACGCAAATCTTGCACCCCTACATCGTCAAGTTTTGAGAAAAGTCCTTCAATCATGATTGCGATTTTTTTCCTGCCATGTCCTGCTAGTCAGAGTGACCCGCTGACCGTCCAGCTTCACACCTTGGATGGGTCAAGAAAGCCAAATGAATTAGGCCGGTGGGTGCTGCTCTTCCCACTCAAGCCGCACTGCCTTTTGCAAAAGGCCCACGAACTCATCAGTGTACTTTTGACACCACGTGGACAATTGAATCCCTCCTTCGCTCCCTTCTATGACCGCGTGTGGCTCGGTGCAATTGCACTGAAGGGGGGCAAACAGGCACACAATAGCTGGACAGTTAGTCATCAGCGTTGTGCGTTTCTTGATCAGTTTGCGGGTGATGGGAGTGCGGAGTCCAACTTGGCACTGGTCAAATGTTCACCTTTTGCACGAGCCTTGTAGCTGCCACTGCTAGGACTGAGCGCCTCTGCCATGAGGTGGCTCGGTATGGATGTTCATGAGCGAAAAATCGGTCCTGAATGATTTGATGAGATGCCACATTCATGGCGTAGTCTAAGAGGCAGTGAGCTTCCTGTAAGCGCTGCTCCTTGATCGCTGTGTTCATCTTTTTCCAATTTGCATTTTGCATGGTTGAGTACATGGTGCATGGTGGACTGAGCATGGTGAAGAAGGGCCGATGCTCCACCATCAGTCGCCATGCGCGGGCGCGGTCCTCAAAGTGTAGAAAGTTGTACCCCGTGTTGAGGTCAAAGCTGTGCACCGCGCGGAACTGCTCCCGACGCAATGGGATGCAAACCCGTGGCGGCGAAAAGAACTCCATGAAATGATGTGGCTCTTCGTCTGCTATGGTGATCACAGTCTGGTGGCTGAGCAGCCTGTCAGAGTCAGCCCAGAAAACTGACACGCTATTCATAATAAACAGCCCCCTCCCCCCCAAAAAACTACATTTACGCGAAGATGACATGTAGCCTTCTTCTTTTGGCGCCGCGCCCGTCATCGGTTACCCAGATGACCTCCACATTGTCCGACATGGCTGCGGCCCACTGAACAGTGAACAGTGTTCTTTTTCTATGTGACTATGCCGGTGTTCTGTCCAAATGTCCAAATGTCCAAAACATAGTTGGCAACTTGAAGCTTGCTACTATTATTTCTGTGTGAGGCCAAGGCTTAAATATGAAACAATTCTTTTCTTCGTTCTGTCCCTGGCATGGTTCTATTGCCACACCCAAGCACTCTGGTCATCATTGAGGATGAGCCCGGCTCGTTTGCGGCAGGGATTGCAGCCTACATGGCTGTATCTACATCGGCTGCACCCGAGGTGCAAAGATGCATTCTCTGGCATCGGGAGGAGGCCTAGTTTAGGCCTGGTGGAAGGTTTGGGTTTGGCCTTTGGTTTGGCGGCTGCTGTCGCTTTGCCTTTGGCTTTTGACTTTGCTGCCGGCGGTGGCTCCGGTGCCACATGGGCTGGAGCGCCCCCGGCACCATGAAGCATGGCTGGTGCACCCATCATTTCATTACCGCTTTGCGGCGGCGCCGCTTCCATTTGCGTTCCAGCATCCGGCGGCGAAGGCTCTGGATGGCTTGGCATGGCCTCTGGCGGGGGCACCTTCAACTAGGGCTGCTTCACTTGCAGGCGCCTGAATTTTAAAGGTGGCCTGGCGACTTGAACTGGGGCTGGCTTGGTGTGGTTCCAATTGAAAGTGTTTGCGTCCAACTTAGTAGGCACCTGTTCTGGCTCCAGTCTAGCTGGCGGCGGTGTCACACCTGAGATCATCCAAGACATCGGCGGTGGAATCCATTCGTCTGATGCGTTGTCTTGGTTCTCCTGGATGACTTTCAAGAGGTATGAGCAACCTGCGTTCATGCACCATGGTTCCCGCGCTATACATTCTGCAGTTTTTGTAAATTCCCGTATCTGTCGTTGGGAAAAGGCCGCTCTTGGAGACAGTTCGGTGGGGCCTTCTGGCGCCAGTCCCAGAAAATCAGAAGCTTGAGCGAAAACCAATGGTTTCTGGCTCAGTTCGGAATCGCTCAAATACTGGCGGCAAGACATGATGACATCACCTCCTTGAGGGCTTTCGTCGCGGAGGTCGTCCAAAGGGTCGGACCAGTGATCCCTCCGGCAAAAATTAAAGCAATGGACAGCCTCCTCATTCCGCATTTTCTGCCATTTGGTTTGTAGGTGGCCGGAGACTTTTATCTCTAGGCTTTCAAAGTAACGCTTGAAACTTGGAGTGGCAGTAATGCGATGAACTGCTAGCTCCCTTTTTTCGCGTGGCTGCACACCAGCCAGAATTGCTTCGCAAAAAGAAGTGGGGTCTTCTAAAATTGTGCACTGACCAAGAGCTCCGCGAATCTCACTGAAGCGTTGGTCGATTTTTCCGTGTGTGTGTCCGACTCGAAATTGAGTTAGGACCACAGAATCAAACAGATTTCGGCTCGCTAGCCAAGATGCAAGGAAGAAGGCTGTGCTGTTCTTACCTTCGGCTGACGCGTTGTCGGTGTGAATTCTCAGGTAGCGAGGCAGACAACGTCCTCGCGCCTGGAATGCGGCTTGGGAAACTTCAAGGCAATGACCGACAATAGCGCAGTGTAAGTCTGCGTTCTTGCTTATGTCGCAATCGCAAACATAATAGATTTCTTGCACCCCTTCGATGATTGCCCCCACCAGACAAAGCTCTGGTCTCCAAAGATTCTGAAATTCCTTGGAAGCGCTGATGTTTCTATAGGGCATCGGAATTTCGCTGCGTCCATCGCGTCTATGGTGATGGATAGCACCGGCTCCGACACGGTACCAGTGACCGCTCCTGAGGATATCTGGGCTTGCAGACACAAGCGTTTGTCGGCCTGTCTGTCACGCATAACATCCGACAAATGGCTTGAGTATTCTTCAGAGACACGCCGGCAATCTTCTGGCGAGCTGACTTGTTTCCGATATTGCTTAAACTTTTCACAGGAGATGCACTTTGAATGCTGTCCTTCCACTCTGATCTTGAGACGCTTTGCCCAACTCAAATGGTAGCAGCCCACGAAAGTGGAATAGGCCACTTTGCAATGAGGCAAAAAGGTCAAGGCACAATCAAGCATCTCAGCTAAGGTAGTGCCTGGAGGCATCCAGCGCACGCCTTCTTCGTCCTCGTCCAATTTGTCCAAGTAAGCTATTGAGCTGGCTTTTGGCAAGGCTGTGGAGGTGGAGGCGGCCACCCTGCCATCCTCGCCAATGCGAACACTCTCTGCCAAATCCTCAGCCACGTTCATATACTGCCATGAAAGGCAGGTCTCTGCCTTTTGCGTGGCCGGTTTGTCTTGTCTTTGCCTTTGCGTTTCCTTTAATGAGCGCTCCGGTTGGAGTAGCCCTTGCTCAATTTGTTTGTTCAATTTCTGCATTGCAGAGGGACATGTTCCAGACCCGGTACCTGCGCCAGCCAGTTCCTGTACCCCAATCTCTCAAGCAGTGAAATTGCAATGCGACCTTTTGGTCTTTGGTGGCAGCTTCCAATGATTGCTGCAACTCAAGCACCCGCCGCTTCAAGGCTGGTGATTCATTGAGCGCTCCCTGACAGCCGCTTAAGCAACACATAGCCTCGCGGTCATGAACTGCTTCTGGGAGTGGCTCAGCATCTGGAGGCAGCTCGACTACTGAGCTGGCATCGCTGGGAAGCGATACCACATCCTCAACTTCAGAGCACTCGCCTTCCATGCTCTACAGGCTCATTGGCATGAAGCTATGCAGGTGGGAGAGCAGGAGGGTAATTATATAGCTGTAGTCTGTGGTCATTGAGACATGGTGTTAGTTGCCCTGGGGCACAGCCCTGTTTGAGCCATGTGAACCTATGCAATCAATACCCCTCCGAAAATTGCTTTGCTATCAAAAAACGTTTCCAAATGGTGCCCTTTCAAACGCAAAAAAATTCAGCAGGAGCAGCAGCACTTGTTATTTTTGCCAAAAACGCCGGTTGTCGAGTCGAGCTGGAGTTCGCGCAGCTTAATAAACCAGCGCCTCTGCAGAGGTAGCTGGCCAGCAGAAAACTCTTTCCTTGCGATAGGCGGGCTTACCCATAAGAATGATACCGCCGTCGCTTGTTTGGGCAATGCCAGCCATGCTGCTGTTGAGCCCAAGAGTCTGAAGCAGCCAAAAGCTTGCCACATCCCCAAGGACAGCGCTGCTTCTTCGGGCCACGTCCAGCCAGAGACAAGCATCGAGAGGAGTTGCGCTGGTGTGCCTTCAATGCGTTCATATCATTGGCTTGTCGCCCCGTGCACTGGATACGCTTGCCAATCTCACATTCAAGGTTCCAACGCTGCACCCGGGCCTGCTCTTCTTGGCGAACAGTGGCGCCCTGGTATGAGGGTGGCCACTGGTGGTCATTTTGGTACGGCTGCGTCGCCCAATCATTGGAATCGGAAGATGCCGGGCGATAGCAGCTGCGGCGGCTGTCACGCGAATCACTTCGGCCCCGCCTTGAACGGGATCTGCTTTGAACTCGTGTCGCTGATCGCCGGTCCGGCGATGGTGGTGTCAGAGGCTGTCGCCGCTGGTGGGGCGATGGTGGTGTCAAAGGGCGACGGCGTGGTGACAGTGTCCGCGATGGAGATCTCGGGGATTTGGTGGGGATGGGCAGTGGGCTGTCCAACTTCCTTGCAGAGGCGGCGGCTGTTTGGCGTTCCCTCTCCTTCTTCTTGAGTTTTTTCTCCTTTTTGCGCTTCTTTTTCTCTTGTTTTTCATCAGCGATTGTAGTCGCTGTGTGGGCAGCAGGCTCAGGCTGATTCACATTCTCCACCGCTGCGTTTGCAGTGGGTGGAGTGTCTGCTGCTTCCATGGCAGCAGCTGCAGCTGGGCCAGTGGGCCTGTTGGACTGCCTCGGGAGGCCACCTTTTAAAGAGGCTGCGGGCACACCAGACCACCAGTTCAAGGTGCAACACAAGTGTCTATTAACCTATGCTATGAAAAATGAAAGGCAAAGGTCTTTTCTTGCCTGAGGTACGCGCTGTGTCATCAAAATTAATATTACTGAGGGGCCACTGGCATCGCTACCAGGAGCAAGGACGCTACTAAGGGGCTCCTGGCATCGCCACTAGGAGCCAGGACGCTACCAAGGGGCTCCTGGCGTCGCTACTAGTACGTGCATCGCT